CAAGCCTACCGCCGGTGACTTCCTCCTCCACGATCGCTTTCAACTTCTCCTCGCTAGAGACGTCGGTCATCTTGCGTTTCGCAGGCCTTGGCCTGGCAGTCTCCCTAGCCGCCTTCTCATTCCTTGTCGCAGACTCCGCCTGCTTCTCCTCCCCGCCTCTGTTCACTGCGACGGACAAGGACGCCCTGGTGGGTTGTCACCAATCGAGGCTTGCAACGAGCCATCTCTAAAATTGCAGGTTGTAGTTGTGTCATCGTAGCCTTGATTTTGTTTATGCTTCCCTCCATGCTCTGCTGGCGATGAGCTTGATCGTCGAGTCGAGTTGTCGTCGTTTGCAGCATCTGTGACATGCACAACGTGTTGAGCCTCGGGTAGCCCTTGAAGATTTTCATCGTCGATGGCGGTGTTGTAGCAAGAGGTTGCTTGCGTGCTCTTCTTCGGCGCCATCTTCCTGGACTCCCGTCGCGCTCAACCTAGCTCTAATACCACTTGTTACGTAGATTTCTCAGAAAACCCACACACGCAAACCTTCAGATACATTTCTCGAACGCTCTAGAGTAAAAAACCTCCTTAATGGCGAGATCAACCCCAAATTACCTTACAACTACTCCTAAGAAATAACAAAGCAAGAAACTCAATTGTGCTCCGATCTTCTCATGACATTAAATGAATGAACTATACATATTTATAGGCATAGAAGTCGTAACATTTTCCTATCTAGAACATGACTCCTAAGTCCTATAAGCAAGATTCTAACAATAAGACAAATCTTATTTGAACAAGCAAATGATAAAGACAATAATAATAAATGACTACTAATACTAAAATAATAAGGATAAGTAAACTCAGATAATTAACCCAATCGTCACGATGGCTCAGTTCTCGTAACACATTCTTTTATCAATTCTCCCTCCAATCTCTCCGTTCTGCATCAAATTTTCTTCTATTCCTTTACTGACTATTTGCTATTCCCATATGATCGGATGTTCCCTTTGGTAGACATGAGTAGATATTAGAAAATAGAAAGGGCCAGAGGCGTACAAGGGAAGAGTAAGGCTGGATTTCGGTTTTTTCGGTTATAACAGGTAACCGTTCGATTACCGGTTAACCGCGACACAAGGGAATCATATCGCCAACCGACCGACCTCCTTCCTCGGTTATCCAACAACCGACCGGTCGGTTACCAATTAGTTGGTCGGTTAACCGAGGAAACCGCACTTCTGGCAAAAAACAAAACACCATTATCATATCCCACAAGTAAACAAACATATACTACCACATGAACTAGACAAGTAAACGAACATAATGAAATTGTCAATTTGTCATCATTTCCCCCACAAGTGAACCAACATATACAATTAAGTTTAAAAAATAAGCCAACATAAACCAATAGAAACCCTAAATCTGGGTTCTTTAATTTCCAAAATCTGCCGTCAGATTGTAGTGGTCCGGGGAGGGAAATGGTGTCGGTGAACTGGTGAAGTATAAAAAACTTACATGATTTGGCTTTACAGTAGCAGCCAACTAGGCCGCAGTTCGGGAAGGGAAATGGTGGCGGTGCAGGCCTGCAGGGCACTGTTCGCCGGGAAGGAAGGGCGGCGGCAGAGCTCTCGACGGGGGCTGGGTCGTACAACGACTTTGCCGCGCGGGAGGAGGAGGACTGCGAGGCGGCTGCGACTCCTGCGAGGCGCGAGCAGAGGAGGCCGAAGAAATGGACGATGGTGGCGCCGAGGCGAGGTCGCACAACAACGAAAGGCGGCGGCGACGACGTTGTTTTCCGGCGTAGCAACAGAGCGGAAGAGGAGAGAACGAGATGGGTGGGAACTGGGAAGGATTCGCGAAGGCGAAGCAGCCAGGAGGGGCGACGGGGCGGGTTTGGTGGTCTGGAACTCTGGATTAGGTCCGTTAGGGTTAGGAACTTAGGGCGCAGAGGATGAGCGACGTCGTTTTGGGGGGTAAAACGCGGAGGGGTTTTGTGTTTGGGTTAGCCGGTTCACCGACGGTAATAACCGTCGGTTAGTCGGTCAACCGGCACAGCAAGAAACGCATCCGACAACCGACCGATGAGTTGAAATTTCGGTTACCGGTTAACCGACGGTTATCGGTTTAACCGACGGTTAACCGGCAACCGATAATCGAATGGCCATCCCTAGGGAAGAGCATTAAACAACAATCGAGCCACTATGTAACGAGGATGAAGCGAGGGAGTGGAGGAACCGTGCGACTCTCAAAGTAACATGTAATCCAACTCATCGTCTCCTAATTAATTCCCTCCCAACTTTAATCATCAACTTTTGCACATAATCCCCATCTGCGCTTGCTTTCCTAACTATACTTTAGTTTGTTCATTATCACCATAATATTAATCTGGAGTGAGGGTGAGGTTACAGTAGGCAGTAGCTGGCTAGCAGCCGGCATCATGACATCCCCTAAAAGCACCGCAACTCATCAAAAAGATTCCTGTTAAATTTCCCCCAAAACCAAAAATGGAGGGTTGAAAAAAAAAAATCTAAAAGGTAGGGTTGAAAAATGAAAAGATAAAAGAGCTCACCGAAAAGTTAAACTTTCTGACTTGAGACTTAGTGCTAGAAGTAAATTACATAAATGGACACTACAGTTCTGGTTCCTCGCAAATTCTCTACTAAAATTTGACGGTTGACGAATTTAACACTGATTTTGAAATAACTTACATATATATACTAGTCAATTTGTCCATTTCCATAAGAAATTTTCTCCAAATTGCTAAAGGTGGCATGGATGAACCATGTGATAGACAATTTGGCTCAATTGCCTTGGCAATATCTTGTAAGGCAATAAACAAAATGTAGTATTTCGACATGTGAGAATTTAAGATTGAGCATATGTTTCTGAAAATTTGAATTGATATCGGTACGCGAACGACAAAGAAGAGAAGTGATAATTTGAAGTGCATCATTTTTTCCTAAAAAGAGATATTTTAGAAAAATAATTCATTTTAGAAAAAACTCATCCAAATCGCCAATAATTTGGCATGTCAATTCACGCAAATATGTAGTAAAGCATTTTTATGGAACAATGAGACCAATGATTTCACGTGTAAAAGTAAGTGTACAAATGGTACTTAAATATCATAAAAGCATAGCAAGGTGATCTCTAGATGTGATCTAATCCACACAACCGAGTTGTACAAATATTATATATCACCCACATAGATAAAAATGCCATGTAAACGGTAGATGACATGGGTGACACACTCTACTTCACACCTGATCCAAACAAAATGAAAGTACTCAACAAAATTCCAATTTGGTTTCCAAAATGATATTTTTAATCCTAAACGAAAAACCTAAAAAATTGGTTCAAAATAGTAAGCAAACAGACGAATGCCAAACACGAGATGGATCGAGGGGGCTACGTTGCCTCCAGAAAGCGCCCCTGGACCTCGACTAGTTGACTTCGACATCGCCCCTCTACTACCAGTTGATGACTATAAAAGGAGTGACTGTTTTGGTAGCTATTACAAACTTGAGCACTAATTCGGTGAAAAATCTAAACTCTAATAACTGATTTGTTAGTGAGGAAATGTTAAGCGGCCGGGCCGTTTGTTTGGTGGAGAGGCACATAGATCATCATGATCATCATCATCCTCATAAACACCCATCATTAAAGTTTCGTTCAATGGCTGTGGCTGTTTTCTTACTTGTTCACTCCTCCTCCGCTTCCTTTCTTTTGCTGTCCGTTTGCAATTGCATGGCTGTGGGGTTGAAGCGGTGGTGCGAGTTACTTTCCCTTCACTCCACTCTGTCTCAGGGAGACGACAACGGGACTTACAAATAATAAATATCAGCTATCGGTTCAATTGTCATTCTCAATCAAAAGGAAAATGAGAAGTAAAACAAATTTAAGCGAACAAAACTCGCTCTCGAGCTAAAACACGTCAACAACGCGTTCAATTTGATTTGATCGAAATTTTAACAAATTCACACTCGATCGAACCTGGCAACTACAGAAATGGATAAAACTTGCTCACGATACAAAACTCGTCAATACTTTACATTGAGGTTCAATTGTCTTTCCAACTAAAGTCAATTTCAAATCACTTTGACCGGGTCAAATTAGGTTGGGTACCCATGAATTTTGGGTTCAATTGTGATCATTCTCAATAAAAAGGAAAAAGGAAAAAAAAAAACACTTAATTAGATGAAACTCGATCCAATACAAAACTCGTCAACGTAGAGCAGATATGGTATTGATATTCAGTAGCGACCTTGGGAAACAGTGAAGGGGTCAACTTTGGATTACGCCAACAGTGTTTCGAAAAGGGTTGTGAATTGGTGAGCGAAGGCGAAGATTGGACATAGCATAACTGGTATGGGTCTTTGGTCGTGGCCGTGGCAAACGGTGAAAGTTGAGAACTCAGGATTCTGCCGACAGTATTTCGAGCTGGGCTGTGAAGTGGTGGGCAAAGGCGATGAATTGGGAAAAAAACCATAGATGAAAACCTAAAGAATTATAGTTGCAACAGAGAAACCATTGAATCATAGCTGAAAACCTAGTAGACAATATAATTATTATGGGAAACACAATGAGCAATAGATGTAAACATATCGAACAATAACTAAAAACAAAAGTTGTATAATGGAGAGTGTGGTAAAAGGAGAAATTTGGAAACTTTCCGCTTGCAAGGACCAAGGAGTAGTGTGAGAACCACTAATTGATAGTAGCACCCAAATTTTCGCATTTATATATTAATTAAAGTAAATAAATAATAGAAATTAGAAAGTAAAAGCACATTATGTTTGAGATGCAGCAGAGCAAACTTGGACATTGGCTCAATTCCACAATGTTGAAGCTCATGGCATTTTCTTAACTTACCAACTGACAAGCTCCTCTCTCTGTCTTTCTCTGTCTGTCGACCGGCAGTTCTGAAAGTGGTAATCCCGGAGAAAGGAAGTATTGTTCCCCCCTGCAGGTGGTGGCAGGTATCAACAAAGGCAACCAGCCAAACAGCAATTAAAATAATGGGAGTAGTGAATGTTGGAGAACTGAAGCCAAGCATATCTGGGAAGAGGACATTTCGCCCCACTTCCACCATCCGACATGCTACTGAATGGTCAGTCACTTCCTCACTCTGTTTCTCTCCCACAATGTCTACTACTGCCCAGCCCTTTTAGTTAGATCGGTCAATAATAAGAATATGCACTCGGCAGGCCAATTTCGGATGTCTCCAGTGATCTCACAGTCGAGGTTGGAGGCTCAACCTTCGCCCTTCACAAGGTAAGCACTTGATTTTTGTCTCAGTTCCGAATTCAATGCACAAAACTCTCAACCACCGATCTGATGCTGCAGTTTCCGCTGGTTTCACGAAGCGGAAGGATTCGGAAGCTACTGCTGGAATGCAAGGACTCCAAAACTGCACGAATTAGCATTCCGCACATCCCCGGTGGAGCTGCAGCGTTCGAGGCAGCTGCCAAATTCTGCTACGGCATCCACGTCGACATCAATCTCTCCAACGTCGCCATGCTGCGCTGCGCATCCCATTTCCTGGAGATGACGGAGGAATTCGCTGATAAGAACCTCGAATCCCGGGCTGAATCCTACCTCGCACACACCGTCCTCACCAGCATCCCCAACTCCATCGCCGTCCTCCACACCTGCGAAACCCTAACCCCCGCCCTCTCCCCTGAAGAGATCAGCAACCTCGTCCCCCGTCTCATCAGCGCCATCGCCAACAACGCGTGCAAGGAACAGCTCGCCTCCGGCCTGCTCAAGCTCGACCACACCTACCCCTCCAAGCTCGCAATCCCTAGCTCCGGCCCGGACACGCCGCCCAACTGGTGGGAGAAATCGCTCGCTGTTTTAAGCCTCGATTTCTTCCACCGGGTTTTGACCGCGGTCAAGTCCAAGGGCTTGAAACAGGACGTGATTAGCAACATCTTGATCAATTACGCCCACAATTCGCTGCAGGGGATTGCGATTAGGGATCCGCAGTTGGTCAAAGGAAGCCTGCTTGTGGATTTCGAGCTTCAGAAGCGGCAGAGGGTGATTGTGGAAACCATTGTTGGTCTGCTGCCGACTCAATCGAGGAAGAGTCCCGTCCCCATGGCGTTCCTCTCCAGTTTGCTCAAGACGGCCATAGCTGCGTCCGCGGCTAATTCTTGCAGGTCTGATTTGGAGAGGAGGATTGGGCTTCAGCTTGACCAGGCCATTCTCGAAGACGTTCTGATTCCTGCTCATTCGCATGGGAGCAATCACAACAACAGCCACGGCGCCGCGACTATGTATGATACGGATTCCATTCTCCGGATTTTCTCCTTCTTTCTGAATTTGGATGACGACGATGACGACGACGATGACAATCATCATCAATTCCGCGGAGAAGATGGTGAGATGATCTACGACTTTGATAGTCCCGGATCTCCCAAGCAGAGCTCCATCCTCAAGGTTTCCAAGTTGCTCGACAATTACCTGGCGGAAGTGGCACTGGACTCCAATTTGCTGCCGACCAAGTTCATTGCGCTCGCTGAGCTGCTTCCGGATCACGCACGGATTGTCAGCGATGGCCTATACAGAGCTGTGGATATATTCCTCAAGGTCAGTCCCTATTTGAGATTATCACATATTTTATACATTTGGAATTGCATATGAAATTTCATACATAAAATAATTTCGGTAGGTGTTTTTTATTTGGATGTGGAAGTGGTTCCTAATTATCGGATAACAAACAACTAATTCTACCCTCAAATTTGGTTTATAACCACAACCGAAATTAAAATTTACGGAATGAAGTCGTTTTGGTTTACAGCCCTCAAGGCCCAATCGCCATCCTCCCCAATCGAATCTACTCTGCTTGGAAGTCCAAGCTTTTAATTTTCCTCAAACACTCTTCTGTCGCCAATGATTACTCTGCCAGCGTCACTGTCCAAATGTAGAAAGAAAACCAATCTTTTCATTACATCCATCCACTTCTTGCTCGTCGGCCTTTTCCCAACGACGGAAGTGTGCTTGATCTGCGATCAACTATCCGACGAAAACCTCATATGTTTGGAATTAGCGGCGGCGGGTGCGGCAATCAACCATGAACCCCAATCAATTGCTACCAAGGAATTGGCTAGCCGGCAAACTTCAGCTAAGAAGAGAAGCGAATGAACGGAAAGCTAGTGAATGGGAATATCAAAGAAGCTGCGATTTGACTGGGGGAATATGAAAAGCCTTAGGATCGCAAGGATCAGAAGTTCAGAACAGGAGAAGGCTGGTTGACATGAAGCCATGGCAAAACTGGAAATAGTTGGATTAGTTAATGAAAATAATAGGTTAGTTTGGATTCGTGTCATTACCACAGGGGTTTTAGGCTTTGTACTGCCCTTTTATATATAGTTTATTAATAAGGATAAATTGCAAATTCTGTAATTGGTTCATCAAAATGTTTCACATTTTTTACTATAGATATTTTATTCCTTTCGTGTCACTAGAATTAGTTAAATAATCATCGTTTGGTCACTACTGTGAGTATAAGTGTATTTTAAAAGTAAAGTATTTGAAATAAGTATATTTCAAATGCATGCATTTGAAATACTAGGTATTTGAAATACATGTAATTTAAATTCGCTGTTTGGATACTCATTTGTAATTTGTTTGCATTTTAAATTTAAGAATTTTTTATTTTAATTTTGAATTTTCTGGTCACTTACTACAATTTTTAGTAAATTACAGTTTGATACCCAAATTTATTTTTTCTAACAATTTAGTACCTAAACTTTCAATATTTTATAAAAAGGATCCGAAATTTTGACGGTAAAATTACGTTTTGGTACCTTTATATGTTTTGCCTAACACTATAGTACTTAAACTTTAAATATTTTACAAATAGGTCCACTCTTTTGTTAGGAGGTATTTCAAATCATTAGTTGTTGAAATATATTTAAGTTGACAAGTAATACACTAGACATATATTTGGAAATCTCCCCATGAATTTGGCACAAGTCCAAATATCAAATGTAAGTAATGTCCAAACACATAATTTGACATTTAGAAATCTAAATCACAAATACCAAATACAAATCATTCTATCCATACACACCCCTACTTCTTTCTATAAAAACCCACAAAGGACTTGATAATTGAAAAAAAAAATAAAAAAATCATACCTTTAAAACCAGATCACCTTTCGTCGACGGGATGGAGGTAGCCACATTTCATGCACCACGGCCAAAGACGAACCTCTCTTCACTCCTAAAGGCCCTTATAATGAACCACCTTCATCACAACCGTCTTCTTCCTCTTCCTCGGCGTCGCGGCTCGCGGCAATCCTCCACCTCGCCACCGTCGCGCTTCACTGCCATTCCAATCTGGCCAACAACAACCTGTCAGCTGCCACTGGTGGGATCACCTTACGTGACCTGAAATGGCGGCTGCCCATTTCAGATTATCGAGGAGGATGCAGTAGAGCGACAAAAGAGGCGAGGTCGATGCTTGCATGTTGCGTTAAACAATTTAGTAATCTCAGTGATCGAATTTGCAATTCACCCATTAATAATGTATAATTTGGGCCAAATATTGTGTTTGGCAGGCAGAAAAAGCAATGTGGTGTGTGACATTTTGAAATGCAGCAACATTGATAAAAAAGACAGGCTATTCTTTGAAATACACATTTGTATATCTTCCAAATGTTTTGTTTATTGGTCTCAAATTTCATATTTTTTCAAATCTTATGAAATAAAATAAAAAAATGTATTCAGTTCAATCAAATGTTTGTTGTGAATATGACATTTCGATATGCAGTCCATCAAACATTTTTTAGTTAAAATAACAATATAGTTAATGCGCTTGTTTAAATCTTTTTCTCAGGTTCATCCTAATATGAAAGATTCAGAGAGATATCGCCTCTGTAAGACCATTGATTGCCAAAAGCTTTCCCAGGAAGCATGTAGCCATGCTGCACAGAATGAGAGGCTACCAGTTCAAATGGCTGTCCAAGTGTTGTACTTTGAGCAGATCAGGCTAAGAAACGCGATGAATGGAGGGCACAACCAGTTCTTCTTTGGTGGATTGAACACTGGGCAATTCCCTCAGAGATCAGGGAGTGGAGCCGGAAGTGGAGCTATCTCACCAAGAGATAATTATGCATCAGTAAGAAGGGAGAATCGTGAACTGAAACTTGAGGTTTCAAGAATGAGGATGAGGCTCACTGACCTTGAGAAGGACCATGTTTCCATTAAACAGGAGCTTGTGAAGTCTCACCCTGCAAGTAAGCTCTTCAAATCTTTGACCAAGAAACTCAGCAAGTTGAATACGTTGTTTAGGATCAATAATCTCAGGCCCATGGGAGGGAAGGGTAGTTCAGACGCAAGGTTTTTATTTCAAAGGAGAAGGCGCCATTCAATTTCATGAATGTACATTAATGCAACGTTTCAATACTAAGATGAATTCAATGGGGAGACTAATGTTGGAGTGTTGTATAGTAGTGGGAGTTTGCTATTGTGATTTATTTGTTCGCTAGTTTGTTTAATGTATTTAATGTTTATTTTGGTAATCTGAGAGGGGAATGAATGTTAAGTTCTAATGGTTTTTCTTCGGAGACTATAAATTTGATTGTGAGAATCTTATCCTTCTACGAAGAAAATGTCGGCTTTGTTGGATTTTACCGTATGTTTGTTGTAAAAGAAATTTTCGATTTTGTTCTTGCACGAAAGCAATTTGTAACACTTCGATTCCTTCTATTTGTAAATTTCTAAACAGCCGTCCACCTACAACAAGTAACCAGGGCCCGTTTAGTATCATTTTGTTGTTGTTGTGGTTGCAGTGGTGTTGTGTAAACAGATGTACAACCACAACAGGAAAAAAACAGAAAACACAAACCTGTTTAGTTGATAAATCTGAAAAATCATTAAAGCTGAAAACAAGAAACAAAAACGCGTTTAGTTACTACAAAAACGCGGGTCGGCGGGCTGGGCTGGCTGCGCGGCGGAGGGTTCGGGCTGCGCGGCAGGCTGAATCGGCACGGAGGTAGAGGGGTCGGGCGCGGAGGCGGAGGGGTCGGCGACTGAGGAGGTGGCGGGCGGCGCGGCGGAGGTGAGTCGGAGGTGGCGCCTTGTTGAGAAGGGTGGCCGGTGACGCCTCTGTTGAGAAGGGTTTAGGGGGAGAATAGTTTGGGGGGCGGCGGTTGATATGTTAGAAGTAGGGTTTGAGGGGTGGCGGCTGTGTTAAAAAAAAAGAAAATTTTTTGCTTCTGTGGGGATTCGAAAACTGGTCTGGTTTAATGAAATCAAGTGCCCAACCAGTAGGAATCCCGTGTGCAACATGTTTTAAAATCAGATCCAAAGCAATAAATTGTTGTTTCTCATATTTGGGCCTTGTTGTGCAACTCTGATTCGCAACAGAAAATAGAAACCCAACTAAACATGTTTTTTTTTCTTGGTTTCTCCAATCTTTAAAAACACAACAGGAAACAGAAACAGGCAACAATACTAAACGGTACTAATTAAGCTAATAAAGCCATAAACTAGTCCCAAAACGACGGAGCTGCAAAACACATTTTCAAAAGAAAACCGTACAGGAAGTCATACCGGATCCGTCAGTGATAGGGTATTTTGGGGTACTACCGTAGTTCAATCGTTGTGTACCGATAAAATACCGTTTTTGTAATTAAATAATATTTTTTTTGTTAAAAAAACCGTACCGGCAGATTCAGGATACCGTTTCGGAATAATACCGGAATATACCGGATAACAAACTTGAATAAACTAAATAGGCATATTTAATATAACAATCAACAAACTGCAACATTATTGAAAACCAAAATTTCAAACATTTTTCGAACACTTTTCATCCACCAACATGGATTTCCAATCTCCTTACCTGATTTCCAAAGTCCAACTGGCGACAGGCTTGGCGCGGCGGAGGGGGGAGGCTCGGAGCGGCGGAGAGGGAGGCTTGGGCGCTCTTCGCGGCGAAGAGGGAGGCTCGGCACGGCGGCAGGCTCGTCCTCTGCCCTTCTCGCCGGTCGCCAGAGGTAGGGGAGGTCGAGCACAGGCGGCGGCGGCGTTCTCTTGACTCTTATTGACTTATTCACGAGCTCGCCGGTGGTCGGACTGCTGGAGAAGATGAAGGGTAGGCGGTGGCGTCGATCAGCGGAAATCGATCGGATTGCTGGAGAACTGGAGAAGAACTAGAGGGATAGGCTGCGCTGGAGGCTGGAAATTGATTGGCGGCCGGCGTCGAGCTCTTCTTCACGTCACGAGCAGGCAGGCGGCGATCTGGAGAAAGGAGGAGCCGTTGTGCCGCTGCGGCAGGTGAAGTGTGAAGTGAACAAATTTTGGACTTTGGAGAGAAGGGCGAAGAAGAATCGATCAGGGTTAGCAGAATTAGTCCATTATCGTTTTTTTTGTCGCATGAAACGGGGACGTCTCGTCGAATTCGTCTACTACCGGTCTGATGTAAACCAGACGACATACCGGAAAATGCCGGTTACGCCGTTAATACCGGCCGGCGCGGTAGAATAGTCGCTGGTAGGGTGCCGTTTCGTCACTTGCTTGATTCCCGGTTTTACCGATTGAATCGGCAGGTTCGATACGGTTTCCTTTAACATGTTTCAAACCCCATCCCACCCTTCTTCTCAATCCAACCACATGAATCACTCTCTCCCATAACCCCCTCTCATCTTGCCTCCCGCACGAAAATTTGTTGCTCCGGTTTCCGACTACACAGATACTCTCTCACACAGCTAGGGATGGCAAAATGACCCAATATTTGGGTATTGCCCAAACTAAAATCATAATGGACAAGTTATGCATGTATGTTATTATTATCTTTGGGTAGACTCATACCCAATTAATTAATGTAGATCCCGAATAAGCCCAGAACATTTAACACATTAAAATAAATGGGTATGAAGCACACCAAATAAGTCTGAATTCTGAAACCATTCACCATCCTTCCCTCACCTCTCTCTCTCTCTCTCTCTCTCTCTCTCTCTCTCTCTCTCTCTTTTCTCCCTCACTATCTCTCAATTTTCTCTGATTCACAAATCCTCTAGCACAAATAGGAAATAAATAAGGAACATGCAGGGCTTGCAATCAAAGCGGCGAAAATGTAGTCAAAGACGAAGTAATTGGGGTCACCTCGGGGCGAAGCTGCTTTCTTCACTAGTAAAATCGGCGTAGCTTTCTTCGGCTGGTGTATATACTCGCAATTGGGGCTTTTTCTCATGCTTGTCTGGCTTCCTTTCCACTCTCCGCTATTCTCCCTCCAGACTCTTTGGCATTCTACTATAATTATGCTTCTGGCGAGTGGCACTTATCGAGAAAAGCACAACAAACATAGCGGAAATGGTCCCGAAGACACGATTTGTTTATTTCATAGCTCCTGTAGACATCCCATTTTGTCCGGGTCAATTACTCAACTAAAAATTCTAAACTTAATCTTGAAATGTCGTAATATGTTTAGATTGGCCATTGCGAATCTAAAATATTAACGATTATGAAATTCATTTGAATTCGATTCCAGTGGATCTAATAGGATCGATTGGATTCCAATCACTGCTTTTGACACAACACTAATAATAATAAAGAAGAAGAACGTTTTATTAAAATTATTACTAGATCACAATTACAATGAGAATTACAAATCATAATGAAAAATAACAATCATTACTCTTAAAAAAATAACAATCATTACAAATGTTCAATAAGTTTTATGCTTGACCCACTATATCCTTTGAAGCAAATCAGCTTTGGACCTGACCTGCAATACAAAGAAAAAAGACCAGTTCGTCCAAACTCAAGGTGCATTCTGAAGTAGCCCAACTCGGCCAAGGACTTAGGGGCCCAACTCGGTCCAGGTCTGAGGAGACCAACTCGATCTACTAGACCAGAGTCAACCCAAGTAAAATGCACATGATCAACCCCATGGCGAGCCTAGACATGAAGGGTGACTAATTCTTAGTCAGGCCCAACGGAGCCCAAGCTCAAACACCAGCTTGGACCAAACCAGCCTAGCAACCCAACAGATTGGTCGAACCAAAATTGATCTGGCCGAACTCAAACACCACTGCCTGAGATTTCTATAAAAGAAGGCCCAATTCTAAAGGAAAACAAAGAAATTTTCAGAAGGGAAAACACTAGGGATTAGGCAAACACTTCTTTGTCAGTTCTAGTTTCTTTCTCTTATTCGTCAATTCAAAGTTTCTTTCTCTTATTAGTCTTTTCTTAGACCGTTCAGAGAGGGAACACTTTAGGAAAATAGAAAAAGAAATTCAAAACACTTGTCTTTTCCTTCTTTATTTTCTGTCAAATAGAAGCAGAAGGCCTCTAAGCAAACAGAAGCCCGCCGAGGTTTGTATCAGCAAAACCCAGGTTCATATTCCAGATATAATAATATATACCATTGATTTATTGCTCTTTTATTCTCTTCTCTACTACTCTTCCCCTTTTGCCAAACCAACTTTATATTTATCGCTATTACTACTCATCCATAATATGATCATTTAACTAATACAAGGCTTTTTTATAAAAAAATAAAAAAACTATAATAACTATACATTGATCTAACTGATTTAGAAGAGAAATCTCATCTATTTTACTTTATCAGCTCTTCAGTTTCATTTTTATTTTCGGTCCCATTATTTACTTATTTTTAGCACGATTAATATATTAACCAATAACAACAAATAAATCACAACATTAGATTAAGACAATCAGAACCATTTTCCCTATAAAGTCAGATCTATGGATCTTTCTCAAATCTGCAGCAAACCCTAGATCTATTGATGTCCATTTTGTTTCTGTCTATGTCACCATCAATTTCTCACGTCTCGTAGGCAATTGGAGCACGAGGTGGAAACTAAGGGTGGGCATTGGTGTGGTCGGACCGCACCAAGTTGCATCGAACTGCATATGCGGTCAAACCGAATCGTACCGTTAACCTTGCGGTCTTGATTTTATGCGGCTCGCGGTTTGCGATCGATTCAAACCAAAACCGCACGCACGGTTGCGTTTCAAAACTGCAAACCGCAACCTTATGTCGTTCAAAAATTTTCCGAGCTCAATTATTCTGGAGATAGTTGCATTGCTGCCACGGCTGATCATAATGGCAGTTTCATTTAACCAAGGAGCAAAAGTTTGAATGAACTGATGTCGGACAATTGCGCTGGTCATTTCTTATGATTAATTGGGGTTAATTACATGGTTGGTCACTGAGATTACAAAAAACGTTCATGTTTGGTCACTGAAAATATTTAAATCCAATCTTGGTCACTCAAATTAGTTAAATGGTTCAAGTTTGGTCACTCTCCGTCCAACTCCGTTAAATATGTCTGATGTGGCAGTCAACCCTCAAAGTTGACCATTAACTCGGTGACGTGGAAATTAAAAAATAATAAATAAAATAAATTTTAATCTTCTACCATTTCCAACTAATTTTCACAATAAAGTAAAATAAAAAACAAATGAGTTGGAAATGAGTGACCAAGATTCGGCGGCGGACATTCGCCCGCCCCAACAGCTCCGTCATCTCCCTCGTCGCCTCCCGATACTCCACCACGAAATTCGGCAGCGCCCCTCCTCCCTCCCCGCATCCGCCCCACAACATGGCCAGGGTCGAATCGACCACCACCTTCATCGCCGTATCGAACACCCCCGTCGCCTCGTCGGTGCGAATCTCCCACATCCCTGCCTCAACCGCTCCCCCGCCCAGCGCGTGACACGTGTCCAGGGCTCCGCTGCTGAGAACCTCCCGGAACATGACCTTCTGCAACCCGGCCCAATCGGCGCCGTACGGCAGGTTGGCGAGGTCGATCCCGCCGTAGGTTAAGATCCGGCCCACAATCAGGATCGGGCGGGTCGAGAAGATGGACTCGTTGACCCGAAGGATCTCTTTTCCCAGATCCGGGGAGCTGACCACGACCAGGGATCTGTTGAGGCCCTGGATTGTGTAGATTGGGTCGGGGGTTTCAGCCAGGGAAGTGAGTTGCCGGTGGAGGTCGTTGCGGCGGAGGAACGGGAGGTACCCGACGACCGGCAGCCCACGTGGAACCGGCGGCGATTTGGTTCTTCGGAGATTTCCGAGGAAGTAGAGAACGGCGGCAGATATTGTGATTGCAATGGTTATAGTCAACAGTGATGTGGCAAAAGTCTCATATGTGAGTGGAGAGATTAGGGAAGTAGCCACGGGGAAAAGCTCTCCGGCGACGGGTTGAGTTGGAAAATGAGTTGGAAATTACAATTTATTTTATTTATTATTTTTTAATTGCCACGTCACCGAGTTAACGGTCAACTTTGAGGGTTGACTGCCACATCAGACATATTTAACGGAGTTGGACGGAGAGTGACCAAACTTGAACCATTTAACTAATTTGAGTGACCAAGATTGGATTTAAATATTTTCAGTGACCAAACATGAACGTTTTTTGTAATCTCAGTGACCAACCATGTAATTAACCCTGATTAATTGATACAAGATGGAAAAATTGATGTCGAACAATGTTCTGATTAAATCAAGGACCTTGTTTTACTTGTCATTGCCATCATGGGAATGTGAAAAGATGGTATGGTTTGATCTATTTGCTGTAGAAATTATAGAAGTTTCTCTTGAATAATGGGAACTATGAATTTTTTTTTCTCTATGCTCTGTTTCTTATTATGCTCCGTTTTTCTGACATAGGAAGAAGAACAAATTAACAACATGATGGACCTCTTTATCTTGCTCTACAAAAGCATGCTCTGCTACAATACTGGTTTGTTGGACCGAAAGTAGCATTTCCTCTTCAACAGTAACTAGTGCAACAATCTCAAAGCTCAACAGATTTTGATAGGAAAAAGTAATTGTTGGGCCTTTTAGGGACGAGAGTATGCGTACGATAGCCCGATACCGGGTGACTAGTATAATGATAGCGTCATGAACAACATTCACTTTCCGTAAAGAATATTTTCACCCTCTACAAAGCCTTGGGTTACCGGAAATTTCTTCGTAGGATAAAACTATCACCACTTTAGATTCCAGGCTCAAGAACCGAAAGCATACTTAGAAGTTACATAGGAAGAAGAGAATCAAGTTTG